CTGGTATTCAAATGGTCTACCCAAATCCATGAAAGGAAATTAAAAGGCGCCGCACCCATTCGATTTATGGCTGGGAGTCTGCCCCTTACTAACCTGCATCTACCGTGTTTCGAGCAAGTGGCTCATATTTGCGCCATGGTCAAAACTCTTGCGTTATACTGAATTACTAGGAACCTTAGCTTGGCGGGTCACCCAGCGAGTTGTCCGGTTCCTTAGGTTTTTAGTTGCTTTTAGTTCGTCTTGTGGTTGGGTTTCCCTGTAAAACCACCTAAAAGTTATCACTTTTTGTTAGCAGGGGATCAGAAAAGTGGACGGCCCAAGACCTTAATAGTTGTCAACTCCCAAACGGGGTTGATATCCATTCCTATCCTGAAGTCCACCTCTCGCTCGTGTCCTATAGCTCTCACGCGGCATTCGCCCTCTGCCACCGCTCGCGCGCTTCCTGGCAACAAGGGGCCGTCCCCCGTGCTTGTGGGAAAAAAGTGCAAGTGAACTGCAAGCTAGCTCCAAGCTATTCCGCCCTAGAGATACCAAGAGCAATCCCGAAGTGCCAGCATTCCAAAACGCCCAGGAAGCTAGGGTGGAAGTTGAACCCACACCTGTTTCATGTCAAGCCAGATGAAAGTGGCAGGGACGAACAATATGGTAAGGGTTAGCAAACGCTGCAAGCAATCCAACTTCGACAAGGCCAACGTCAATGACAGAAACCGGCCAGTGCTCTTCGTTCTCGCAACCTCCCCAACCTCTCCCCCCCAAAAAAAAGAGCCCTCCAACCTCCTCCCCAAGCTGCCCCAACCCCAAAACACCTCCACCCGGATACCGCTGGGACATCACGGGAACACCACGTCGACCCCATCAAGACCCCATCGGGACACCACACCACCGCCAATACAAAAAAAGTACCGAGCAAAATACAGCAAGAAAGCCAGTGACGAACAAACACCGCCAACAAAACCCACGGCGTAGCAACAGAACGCCAACACCAAGAGGACACCAAGAAGACACCAAGAGGACACCAAGAGGACACCTGGCCTTGGAAAATTGGAGACCAACTAGACGCTGACTGCTCCCTTGACTTGGTCCCAGTGCTGCGAAAATCCTGCTTTAGGTTTAGCTCTAGGTGTCTCTTAGGATCTAAATTTCTTTGACGTACCTGTCACATGAAGTCCTGCCCGTCAAACAACCTAAGAAACCACCAGATGAAGAAAAGAGCATTGATTTTGACCAGTTTGGAAGGAACCTAAATCCCAGAGTGCAATACAACAGGGCAATTGAACCCTTTCCTTTGGCTGCCCAAAGCTCGGCCCACGTCTGGGGTACTTCAAAAACAAGAAGAAGAAAAACAAATTATATATTCTTGCGAGGGTCTCTGGAAGAGAAACTTCCTCTTAAAGGAATTCCTTTGCGGTGCTGTGTTGGTGGCAGGGAGGCCAACACATTAAAACTGGGCTGTTCTCCTTCGATCCCTTGCTAAAAGTCGAACATGTTTTGTGGCTTAGTGGAAACTACCAAACCCAACAAAGGACTGAAAAACCTAAGGAACCGAATGGCTGGGAACCACACCTTGGGATAGGAGAAACTCCACCTCAGCCTCATCCGGAAAATTCTAAGGGGGCTCAACAAAAAATGCGTGGAAAAATACCTGGGCTGTTCCCCATCGATCCCCTGCGGACGATTCGCTGGGAAACGCCAAGAGAAACAAACTACCAACCCCCCCCACCAAAAAAAAGAGCTGACACAACTCAGGAACCGGACGCTTCGCAGGGAAGCGGAGAAACATTTTCTTCGACCCTTCGCTTTTCTGTTTTCCCTTCGCATCCCCAAAAACCGAATGCGACTCGCCGCTCGCAGTCGCGACTCGGGACTCGCCTCCTGCCAGGCTTGGCGCATGCGCTGCTCGTGCCCGTGCCGCGAGCTGGCGGTCCATCCGCGCCAGGACCTGAGGCAAACCCCCCACTGGGGCGGCGGCTGAAGTCCCGGATCCCGGGTGAGCTTGCCCTGGAAGGCCACGACGAAACGGTGGCCAAAAATAGGAAAAGGTCCAAAAGGGCGATTCGGTTTGGGAAGGTAATTTAAATGGGGCCCCAACTTCTGTCGGTGGGGGCCCCTCCAAAAGTGATGAACCACTGAAACCAGGCACAACCCCATACGAACAAATGGGGATTGATTCATCCGACATTAGGGGCCCGAAACGGACATCGGGTCTGGGCCGAAGGCTTCATGTCCACTTCGTGGTCCCTGGGCTTCCTTGAAATGGCAACCACCAAGCGGGTCCACCATTTGGGTCTGTCTTTTTGTTCATGGTACCTGTTAAGCGGGATTATTCAAGCGGACGTGGTTTAAAGGGAAACAAAAGGACAATCATCAATTGGAGGGGTCACCTTTAACAAAACACACCCACCCGGATTGAGAAACTCCAATGTTTCCCCGAAACTCACTTTATGGTTTAAAACCACCAAACGAGAAATGTCTGACACTTGCAGGGCAATCCGAGGGGCTAAAAAAACAACCCCCCTTCAAAGCTCTGAATACCCCGTCGTTGGTTCGTGTTGTAAAAATAAATCACCGGCTGTCCAAAGCAAATAGAAACTAACCATCTAGCTAGAAGGGACTTTCTTAGGCCGCGTTTTCAACAGCCAGGTTCCCCCGTTTGTAAGGGTAAAAACAAGGTGTTCCCATGATGTTTTTCAGGTAATGGCATGTCCTGCTTGGATTTGGGCCGGGGTATCCCTCTTGTATCTCTTATACAGTATGTTGACACGGTTGTAGACATAAGAAAGCAACACCGAAGAGCGCCGTAGCTGTGCGTCCCTCACTCCTTGCTGTAGCTGCTGAAAAAACGCGTACGGATTTTCCGACTGATTTTTAGTGCGCCTGTGGTACTCCAGGGCGGGTGAAAAAAACAAATCCACCAGACTGGACTCATGGGACTCCCTTGGGGATCAAAGCCGCAAGTTCGGCCAAATCGGCTTGGGGTGTTTCACTTCGCTTTGGCTTGAGACATTTGCATCTCCGAGTTCCAGCCATTGAAAGTCGCGCCTTCACGGAACTGCCCTGATGAACTCACTTCCAAAAGGCACACTCATGTGAGTTGTACTCAAAACCTGGTACTGAAAAGGTGGATCCCCAGGTCCATGCTTCAAGAACTGAAAAGCCGGATTCTTCTGGATTCATGGAAAGGGGATTGTTTCCCTCCTCATACCCGAAGCGGTTTTTTGCGTCTCCGGTCCCTTCTCTGAGCCCAGCGCTGCCAAACCCAGCCCTGCGCGGATTCCTGGCGCTCCAGCTTTCTTCGGGCGGCTTGGCGCTCGAGGAAACCTTCGATTCAGAGCCCACTCAAGCAAGTGGGGAAGCCATTACAACCTAATTCCTTTGTTTTGAGGGGAACTGGGTTGTAACGACCCCTCTGCAAAACGTTGTCAACTTTGTGTCGGTCTCCTCTGGAAAACCCAGTGGTTCCCAAAAAGTTCAAGTCCAAAGATCCAACCAAATAGCCATAATTGTGTGAGCAAGGCACTTTTCGGTAGCATGCATCGCATACTATTGCAACAAGTTTGTCAAAAGGGCAGCTCCTGCCTGCTACAAAAAATGTGGGCTTATGCCAGTCTAGTCTGTATTGGTATGTTTGTTACACTAGCAGCTGGTCCAATGTAAGCTCCACATGAAGCCAAAACAACCGCCACGGAACGACGGCTGCAAAACAAATCCACAATTGATGCCAAAGAAACAACCCAAGCAGGTGCATCCAAAACTTGTCCGTTGTACGGCAATAAATGGCCGTTCCACGGTCAAAAATGTCCGTTCAATTGCTTGCCTTCGGTTTGTCTACAGTTTGTCTACGGCTTGTCAACGGCCCACCGGAGTTCCAACAAAGCGCCGCCCAACAACTTGATCAACATGGTCTGCCCCTGTTGAACGCTCCCCTAACTTCCCTGTGAAATGACCGTACCGTATGCGCGCATGGTTATGGATTCTGCCATAATTTACTTATGACAAATTCTGTAAATCTTCCAGAGCCCCTTGCAATTCATGAGCCAGCCAACTTGGCCGCGCACCCTGCGGGTCCCTCCTGAAGCCTGCAAAAAGCGAGCCAGAGAAAAACATATGCGCTGCCCCTGGCATCATATTTTTCTAGTCGAGGAAGACCAGGGTACTGGGTACTGGGTTGTCCTCAGATCCCCTGCCAAAAGTTTGACTTTTAGCACAAACTTTTAGCAGGTTACATGAAAACCCCACTAAACCTTAAAAGTCTAAAAGCCTAAGTGGACGGCCAAGGGTAGTGGCAAGCAATACTCTATTTGTGCGTTTCCGCACAATCTCGGCAACTGGGAGCGTAGTCAGAGGCTTCCATTTTTGGTTTCGTCGAGAGAAAGGAGACGATCCGGCGACTTCATGGAGCGTGAACCTGACCTTGTAAGCTTGGATCCCAAACTCGAATCTCTGGGCCCATCTAGCAGTTGGAGTTTCTGAGGGACCCGTTCAAATTCTTCGGGGCGCCAGTCTCTTCAACCACGAGGCTAATACCCAGGATGTCTTAGGTCCAGGTGCGACCCAGCAAGCGATCGGAACCGGCCCGCCAGGGTTCGGCAGCCAAGTACCGCACTTTGGCAGTGCTACATGTCTCAGCCGTGCTTGGGGTGGTTTTTTGATTGATAATTGGTACCCTCAAAAGCCAGGGCTTCAAATGGGTTTGTCTTCTTTGGGGGACCGAAAAATGGTTGGTTGGTTTCCTTTTGGCTGCCCTTTAAGACCAACCAAAGGGGCGTACCCGTAAACCTCCGGCTCTGGTTGGCCGCTGTTGGAGCTTCTTTCGGAACTTTTCGGCCCGCTTTTGGACACCAAGAACATAGAAGAAGCGATGTCGCCGTACTGGTGTGTGTCTTTTTGCTGGCGCCTCTCTGCGGTGATTGGTTAAAGGGGGAAAAGGACCCACCGGTTTTTTGTGGACCAACGTTGCCGGGTCCCGAAGCTCTGAGAGAAACCGGTTCGATGTCACACGTTCAGGCCGCACGTTTCCAGGACTTGAAGCTGTGCTCCAAGTTTTCGTCCACCAGCCTCGGGCTGGGTCCCCGGGCCCCGGGTCCCGGGTCCCGGGTCCGGACAAAGAAAGACAGAGGAATCATAGGAAATTCGGTGGGGGATGTAGGTCGCCACCAACCACTTCTCAGGCGCACCATCTGAAACTCATCGCGTCCCATTCGCTTTCTTCAGAGAAGAGGTGCCAAAATCGCCGAATGGTTTGGGAAGAACCCAAAAAGGAGTCAACTTCTTGGTCAAAGCCTGGAGTGAGTCAGAGGTTGGTTCCCTTACCATATACTCATAGTTCAGTGGGTGGGGGGGGGATTCACGATTCGCCGCATGCTTGCATATCATTGAAAGGCTCACTGCATGCTGGCGCAGTTCAACTTTGTGGGTCGAAAGGGGTGAGTTCAAGGACTCAGGGCTCGGACATTTCACCGGGTCAGTGACCCGAAGTCTGGCTCCGAGGATCTGCCATTTCCATAGCCTCCAAGTGGAAACCGATCGCTTCAATGGAACCCACCAGTAAAACGTAGCTTTTGAAACCCAAACCAGCGCCGGTCTTTTGCCCAAACGGCAAGGGCGAACCGATTTGCCCGTTCCCAGCGTCTACATGAAGAGTGGCCAACTTGAGTTCGGTCAAAGGCAAACCCGAAAACAGGGTCACTCTTCTCGTATTTGGAGACTGCTTTGTGGAATTGGAACCAGCTTTTACTTGGAAAACAAGATGATGTTCCTCAGCAAACAGATGTTCTAGTTGCTTCGCCGTTCTCGTCACCCGTTCTTCTGTTCAGAAAGGGCCCTAGCCTTGTTTCACCATATGTACAACCGGTTCTTTGAATCTAGACTCAGAAAAAATAACCATAGCTGCAACCCATGTGGATTCAACCGCCAACCCAGGCATCGGAAGAAATTGCCAGGCAGCATGACGGCGCCGATGTTGTCAAACTCCCCGCAAAAGTCCGCCACGCTAAAGAGGGACACCAACCGCTCCGCAAAGTACTCGTAGCCCTCCTCAACCACCTCAAAGGTCTGTTCGGGTGTTTTTGGGTTCAGATTCCCCATCTTTCCGTACACTTGGGGCCCTTTCAAATTGTTCAAACCACCCGAAGAGACCTTTAATTCCAGCGGCTATTCGAACCAACCATTTGCCTTTTTGTCCCAAATGTCCTTCCCAAAATCTGTGTCTCAAACGAGAGCAATGAACAAGTCTGGTGTCTGACCTGTGTCCCCTTCGATCCCCTCCTAAAATCAAACATGGAAGCTGACAGGAGGGTGTTGGAAAACTGCTTGGGTTTTGGGGAACCCCTCTGTCCACTTCCATGATTATTGGGATGAGAGTAACTTTTACTGGTGCGGAAACCACTGGACCCAACAAACACACCAAAATCACACCTAAGGAACCGAACCGCCACTCTCCACGAAGCGGTGTTCAAAAAGGCCATATCTCTTTGGTCCAAGTTCTGGGTGTCATGTGCTCTGCAAAGGGTTGCGGTCTGTTTGAGGTTGCACCACCAAAATTGTGGTTCTCCTCTTGGCCTCCCTGATACCCTCCAAAAACAGGACAAACCCATTTTGAGAGAAGGCCGTTCTTCTTGGCCAAACTGGATGCCCAGGCAAGCAGTCTTCATCATGGGCGTCGCAACCCCGCCCACCCTCGTGATGTCGTCGTACTTTGCCCAAACAAAGCCAAGCCCAGTCTGTGCAATGATAAACGGTTCACAGGCTAGGGAGGCAAGTTTGTCCTCAACGTGGGCGTGTGGTGTTTGCAAGGCAACCATCTTTGCCGACCGCCTGGGGTCCAAGAAATTGCTGAAGTGCATGTTCAACATCGGTGTGAATCAGCTCAGTCACAATGGGCCAAAACCCATGTAAAGAACTGAAAGGGCGGACGCCGCACCTATTCATGATTGGGATTGTGTTTCACCCTTCTCTTGCCCCGTTTTTGGCAGGACGTGGCTCACCTGATTCCCCCGCACAATGAGGTCCAGATCGTGGTCTTTCAAGAACTTCTGCACCACATCTGCGCCAAAAGTGTATGAGACACCTTTGTCCTGCCAGCAGAGAACATACTCCGGTGTGTAGAATCTAAGCCAGCTGATCGCGGATTTGGTGGGTGTTTCGCAGCCTTGCAGACTTGTCCCCTTTTTGGTTTCTTTTTCCGACCGCACACGAGTTGTTTGGCATTGGGTGGCCATGGTCCCCCAAATCCTTCAAGCCCATCTTCATGCCCATCCTCAGTGACCCCAGGTATTGGTGCTGTCCAAAAAACAGTGGTTGGGAAGGTAGCTGCTTCTTCAACCATGAAACCAACATCCCGTTGGTGTCCAAAAAAAACAGCCGTTGGGACGCGGGGTGCTGACAGAGAACCTCTGTAATTCACACCCTCCAGATCACACAGTTGGTGTTGTCCCCAAACGGACGCATTGAAATTCGAACTCGAGGCTTGCAGAATGGGAACGTGTGACGCTGGCTCTGGGGTCCTGCTTTCCGCTTGTCTTCCTGTCTGCCAGCCTCTCCGGTCAGATGCGCTGGCTCCGGGTCGTGTGTGTGTGTGTGTGTCCCAGCGGTCGCTTCTCGCTCCAGTCAGATGCCAGATGCTGGGAGTTTTGCAATTTTTCCCGCATACAGCCCTGAACAGGAAAAAATGGGGGTCTTGGCAAGACCAAATGAACTGGCTTCTTCTTTGCGAGGTTTGGGGCGAACCTCGCTTGCTCGGCACAGCAGCAACAGGGCCAGGTTGCGCGCTCCACGCGGGGCCGTCATTGTGCAGTGTTGCTTTTTTGCTGTTTGAGTCGAGTCGAGGCTGTTTTTTTCGGCGGGGGGGACAACGAGACCGGCGCAAGGGAAACCCTTGAGGCGTGGGAATTACTCCAGTTCCGCGTTCGACCCCGGACAGATCTGCAATTTTGCTACAGGAACTCCAGAAATGAACTACATGTTCGGTCGACGGGGCATTCTACCCCGCAGGTGCGCGCTTTTGCAGCTGCCCGGAAGGGGGGGGGCACAGGGGGGAAGGGTAGAAACCAGCCGATCCTGAACCCCCAGCCCCACACGCCATGTGACCTGTCCGGAGCGTCTAAGAGGTCCTGGGACCTTCTTGCGCTTGAAGCAGTTTTTTTCATGATGAGTCTTGTAACAGGCTCTCCCATGATCAATGTCGACGCATAGACAGCCCGGCCTGGACAGCTGCATCATGGCGTTGGTGGCATTCCGAAGGTATGTCACTGACAGAGTCAAGCCGCAGTCGTGCTTTGAAGACACAAGTTCGAATCTCAGATTCGAATACGCGCATTTGGACATTTGAAGACTTTCCTGTGATCCCACCGAAGCCACGATTTACTATTTGCACAGGACTTGCACAGTTCCCAACCCCACGTCCAAGAGTGAACGCCACCCCACCCTCCCGGCAGCCCTACATGTTGGCCTCCTGTTTTACAAGCTCGCCAGACAGGCAAATGAATGCCGCCTCGCCCCCGGAGTTTGTTTCCAGTCCTGGTCATTCCAGCCGGTCACCTCCTTCTCCGGGTCCGACCACAGCAGGTCGGTCAACAGCCCCATGTCCGGCACGTCCATGGGCCGACGGAGCTGGCGAATCTGCTCCAAATCTTGCCTCGTCTTCTCGTCTTCCAATCCCCAAGGCCCCGAGGTCTCGGCTTTGGCCCAAACTGCAGACTTAGGCCTTCAGGTCTCTTAAAAACACCCGGAGTTCTGGTGGGCATCTTGCCACTCGGTTCTGGGCTCTGCGTTTTCTGTCCCCCGATCGCTAAAAGTGACTTCTGGTTAAATGCGAAAACCCGATCAAAAAAACTAAAGACCTAAGGCACCATGCCTGGGAACCGCCTTGTGGTGGATGTCTTTCTGGTTTCCCTTTAAACCGGCCTGAACTTGGCAACCTAGTACCCCCATGCTTTGGGCCCGTTCGACCGCTCGACCTCTTGACTGACTGACCTCCAAAGATTGCCTGATGCCCCAATCCTCCCTGCACACTCTCACTATCCAGTAAAACTGCCTCGGGGCGCGGAGTTGGCTCCCCCGGAGGATTTGGGTCCTTGAAAAGGACTTTCCACAGTGTAAATGTGCAGTTGGGCGTTCATGTTTCTGCAGAAGAGTAGGGGACAAACTCCAAATGGTGGAATTGCTTTCCCTCGATCCTCCAAAGCCCAAAATTACCACAAAAGGGTGAACCTATTGAACCTTTGCGTGTCCCAACTTTTGGTATTCCCCATATTTCTGCTTTCCCCCACCCCCGATAGGAAACACACTTTTTCAAAGGCCCTAAAAGGTGATGCTCAAAACCACAACTCTTGCTTCATGAACGTTCAACCTGGGATTTAATTCTGTTCCATCACCTGCGCAACCAACACCCGGGTGTCAAAATGGTCTAGAGTCTGCACAGAACCATGTAAAGAAATGGCCGGGACTCTCCAGCGACCCTCCTACCCTCGAATTTCCCGGGCCAGCCGCTCCCTCGATCCGCTCACTGGTGAAACTTGTTCTGTGAAGCCTGCCACTAAAAAACAACGAAACAAGTTTCTGGAACCGGATGGCCGGGAATCAAGTTCATCCCGTTCCACTGGTCTTCGCCACTAACCTGGCCTGGAAGCTTGCATGACGTCTGGTCTGTGTCGTACACTTGGGCGACGGTATGAATCTTGTTTTTCAACCAAACTCCGGGGACTGAATGGACCCGTGGAAATGGGAATGGGACATGTGTTCTTCACCCCTAAGTCTGCTGGAAGCCCCCGCATAATACATGTATTCTGAAAGAACCCTAAGTCTGCTGATCATATGGAGTGGAAAGGAGACCTGTCCCCCAATCGTAAGTCCAAGCTGTCCTCTGTTCGCCTCATGGGTGTCATTTGTTGGGGACACCCCAAACTGGCTTCGGTGTTTCTTCACACGAAAACGGGGTGCCAACTCCAGAAAACCCGCAAACGAGCCGCCCATGTCAGTCGCGTTGTTTTTTTTCAAGCCGAGGCTCAGCTCGGGCGACAGGCCACTGGCCACGCAGAAGATGCGGTGGTTGATCAGCGCGCAGATCGGCATGGCGTCAAAGAAGTTGATGAAGGCCCTCCACACCTCCCGGATGGGACCGGAAACAAAGGTGATCGCCTTGTAGGGGCCACGAAGCATGCACCAAAACTTGAGAATTGAAGCGAGCCCATGACAAACACGGGATGACAAAGGTACCAGCTTGAAAGGCAACCACAGAAACCGATAGGCAGTTTCTCAAAGAAAATAAATCAACCCCCCTTCGGTAAATTGATGAAATTGAAAGGGACACCTGCCAAGCAATTGCGGAAACAAGGTTTAGTCCAATCAGAATTAACAAACAAACACCCTGTCCCTCCCTTTATCCCTGTTTCAACTGGGCCGTCCTCAGACCCGCTAAAAGTGAATAACGTTTAATGGGTAAAACTCGGAAACCCAACCACTAAACTCGCTAAAAGCAACTAAAAAGCTTTCTGGACCCGGACGATCCGCTGGTTGAACAACCTTGCTAAACCTCCCCTGGTGTCCCGCAAAACCGAGAAAATGCATTAAAACTCCGAGATTTCCCCAAAAAAGCGGAGCAAAACAAAAAAAACGGGGCCTTGACGTTGCTCCGCTTCTTGCACTCGTCGTAAAATCCGTAGATCCGCGAGATGGAGCCACACTCGTGGCGTCCCCGCAGCAGATGGAGCCGCGAGCTGTGCCGCAGCTTGAGGCTCAGCAGCAAGACCAGCACGTCCAGGCCCTGCTGGCCCCTGTCCTCAGAGATCCCAAGCTGCGCTTGGGATCCGTTTTTTGGGTTCTTGTGGGGGTGCCCTATGATCATGATATGGGGGGTCCTTTGTATTGGATGACCGTTGGTTGACTGAAAAGATTCTATTTCCCACTAAACGGGAAAAGTCACTCATGGTCATTCGGGGGCCAGGAAGACTGATGCGGATGAATGTCCTTGCCCCGAAATTGTGGAGGTCCTGGCCTGTCCTCAGTTCCCCTGCGAAAAGTGAATAACGTTTGGCGGGTTGCATTCGGAAACCCCCAATATACCCTAAAAAAACTCAAAAGCCATATCAGGGGACGGCTGAGAACCGGCAAGGGTCCTGTATACCCTATAATAGCTATATAAATACCCTTATCTTGCTGGTGCGATAAGTAGTGAATGACCTTCGGGTGTTGGAATGGGGATTCCCCTTTCAGGAAACCCGAAATCGGAGGTGCTCTAATTATGCCAGAAAGGTGTTGAATGAGATGGGTGTGGAAGAATGATATGCTGGGTTGCCCTATCAAATTTAAAATACCCTTCTGCCCTAGTTACAAATGAAATGTACCCCTAAATATGTAAATGCACGGTTTTTGAGTGTACCCGTACCCTTTCCGAGTGTGTTTTGAAGGGAAACCAAAGGGAAACCAATTGTTCGTGGGATCCCTCAAAAAGACAAACCCATATTTGCCTTCTACCCGACAAACCGGTTGACCTCGTTGTCTAATGGTCCGCCACCCCGGGTTTTTGTCGGGCTGGGCGTGTTGCAAGTTCGACCTTGAGTTGGTATCCGCATTCGGTTGGTACCCAGTTGAAATGGACATGGGTGTGTCCTTTTAAGGGGAAGGGCTTGGTGCTGTTTTGGGAAACCACTCATGGTTTAAATTCGGAAACCCAACCCCTAAACCAACGTCTAAAAGCATTTCTGGAACCGGACGATTCGCTATGTTTCGCAGGTTCCACCGACCCAAATTGTCAGGAAGGTGTAGATTTGAGGCTCGGCATAAACCTTGGGGGGGGGGGAATAGGGGTGGGGGGTCCAAGTCCAGTGTGCTGGTCCTCCCCAGCAAAAGGAAATCGAACTTAGGGAGATATCCTGTCGAACCCCCAGTTCATCAATTCTAGCGTCAAGGAGATTCCCCAGATGGTCAAAACACAAAACTGATGTATCAAAGGCTTGTATACGTCCATGAACCCATGGCCATGTTCCGTTCAAGGGCCCATGAGTGCCTTTAGTAAGAATAAGATGTTATTGAGCCACAGTCCGTACTCACTTGCCCCCTTGAAACCTGGAAACACAGGTGATCCTCTTTTGGGGTCACTAAATATGGGAAGCCAAAATGGGGAAGCCAAAAAGGCTGATACTTCTTACCCCAGTGACAATGCATTGTGAGTAAACCGATTTGAAATCCACTCGTCGTTTGAGTGCAACCCATGAACCACCCTCTCTGACAGACGGACCTCGGACCGCTCAGAAAGGCACCTGCAAGGAAACCGCAAGGCCCAGTCTCAACTTGATCTGCCCCGCGGTTGTTTCATTCCTTCGAATCTTGATCTTGGGAATTGGATCCCTGGGGGTTGGCTTCATTCCTGGATGTTGTTTGGTGGAAACGCATTGATTGTTGTTGCACTAGGCAGCAAATGGCATTCGTTCCTTTATTTCCGAAGGCGATGACTGAATTGAAACAGGTTAGCTTACTTCTCGAGTGGATAGACCCAAAAAAGTCCAAAACGCCTAAAAAGTCCCGTGGACTTAGGAAGTGACTTGGGGAAGATAGACCATCTGCTTTCAGAAACCGCTGTCGAACTCTTTCGGACTCGTCTCCACCAGGTTCCCCAAAAAGAGATACTTCGTCTCCGGGACATCTCCGCAGCTGTCAAAGATCTTGTTCCTGGCTCACTCAAAGGCAACAAAATCCGACTGCGCCCGCGACAAAATGGCGGATGGTTGCTTCGAATTCCGAGAACAAAAAAAAAGAAGACAAAAACTGGGCTGGCCGTTTTCGGATCCTCGGATCTAAAAGTCGAACACTTGAGTAGTTTAGTGGAAACTAAACTACCGAACCAACTGAACACCCAAGACAAGTTTAAGGAACCGGATGGCTGGGAAACAACAAGTTAACATTGAGATAGGCCATACGATAACCCAAGTTCAACCAGGCACGAGTCTAACGCCGAAGGCATTGAATGGATGGCTCATCCCATGCGCAGCCACGTCTTAAAGCAGCAGAAAAGACATCTGGTTGGGACCATCCACTAATCGAGCCATTTACGCGCACTGGAATTTGCAACCCGCGCAAGGCTTCCTGGAGCAGCAGGGCTCAGGGGTTGGCTCCCTTGCAACCATTGTAACCTACCAAGTGGGTTGCCCCCCAAATTTGGGCTCCGGAGACCTTTCGGGTCTTGGGGTCTTGGGGTATTGTCAATCTCATGTTTGCGGAGGCTATGTTTTTGAAACGCCGTCCAGATCTTGGCAGTTTGTGCAAGATGAATCTCGTCACAAAAGAACGTGGCTACGCCGGGTCTTCCATCCCTGCAAAACGTACCACAAAGGATACCAATTCTGAAAGCGGACACGCCCTTCTTCCTTTCAAACAAACAAGCCCATAATCCTGAAGGAAAGCCACCACAAAGGAGACTCCATTCGTAGCCCAAGGTGAGGACCCAGCGGATTGCCCCAAATCAGCCGCCCAGCGGTTTCCTTAACCTAACCCGGCTGTGGCTCAAAAGGATGGTCCCAAAACGGCACCTCGGTAAATGAAACCAAACACTACCTGCGTACCCAAGCGTTTGTTAGTTTTGAGCCACAGCCTCCTCAGAGGCTGGCGAGGCGCAGCTGGTCCAGGCGCCCGGTGAGGTGCGCAACGATCACCAGAGGAGGTGATAACTCCAGGAGGGTGGGCTCCTTGAGCATCTGCTCCTGCGCTATGGAGCAAAAACCAGTTGGGGGGTGGGGGTTTGGGACCTGGGGGGCTGGGGGTTGGGAAGGTGGGGGGGGTTTTGGGTTTTGGGGGAGGGGGGGGGGACACCCAAAATGCCAAAAAGCCGTTGGTGGCGCGCGGGAGGTAGAACATTTTTTAGTGAGCAACTCACCACACAAAAAAGGGGTTGAAGGGTAGAATCCACTGAAGTGGGACCAGGAAACTTCCAGAAGCCTCCTTGTAACTCTGAAACAAGAGAGCGAGCAAGCAAGTGCCAAACCAGAAGCCGCTGAAAACAGCCGGGAAAACGGGAAATTCGGAAAACCCGAGCCGACTCCTGGAACACCGGAGAATCCCCGAAAAGAAACTTACCATAGATTCCCTCTTGGGGCCACTAAAAATTTACCAAAACGTGGAAAACCAAGGGTCAAAAGGTCGGCTGGACAAGAGGGAAAAAGGGGCCAAAAAGAGCCGTCCTTGGCGTAGTAACAAAGGATCATCAGCTGGTCCGCGTCAAAGTCTGCCTGCGTTCTGGAGCTGGTGATCTTGCGCAAGAGCTCCGCTGAAGTATGGAGGTCCGGCGATTTCCTGCCCAGAAGCTTTGTGAGACCCAAAACAAGTCTAAACGTTCTATTTAACACTACATGGTGCCTTTTTGCTGTGATTACCTGTTCTGGTTTAAAAGGGCAACCAAAGGGAACCCCGCCATTTTGGGGGGTCCCCACTTTTTAAGACCACAAATGAAATCCAAGAACGCAGGAAGCGAGAGACTTCGGAGCGCTCATCCTGCACGAGAAAAAAAAGGAGAAACAAAAAAGAACAAGAAGAAGTAGAACAAAAAAAAACGTGCTCGATCTTTGCGACTGACGTGAGCTTGGAGGGGAATCTTCGCTAAGTCAACACAGACTTTTGCGAACCCTAACTCAAGCGCCCGGTGGATTTCCATCATGGGAAAAGCAACCCTTCCCCAAAAAAAGGAAACATGGGTGCCACTGAGCAACTGGGCTAAGCAAGGGCCCCGGAACTCATTTTCCCCACAAACTTCCCCCTTACATAACCTTTGGTCAAAACAATCGCAGGAACCGTCACCTGGAGTGTCTCTTTTTAGTGGGGGTTCACTTTTGGAGGGAACACCCACCTATTATGAATAGGACGGGTGTATTAATCCAGGGTCAATATTAGTGGAGAAACAGGGGGTGGTGCTTTTGAACCAGTGTCATAGCTGCCATAGCTTACTAAGTGTGATACAACCATGGTTTTAAGCGGGGCAACAACCCTTCTTTAACCTTGTTGCAGGTTTGTTACCCAACGGCGATCCGCACAACTATGATTATACCCTAAGTGGACTGGATCGAAATTGGGAGGGACTTCCACTCCTAGGCTGAATTTATGTCAAACATATGTGCCCCTGGTATGAACAATTCAATGATCGGCTACCTGTGATTCATTGACCGTTGATGAATTACCGGCCATGGGAAAAAAAATCGGTACCCCCAGTGAACATCCCAATCCCCACTAAAATAGACTAACATGGGTTGTGCACCTACCCCAAAATGGTACCATTGGTTTTAACCCACAGCCGTATCGGTTCTTTAACCCCTCTTTCCATTGCCACCCGAGCGTCACGACCATGTGCACCGTCACCTCCCCGGACCAGCCGAGCGCCTACGGTGAAGCCGCACGAGCTTCCGGGAGAGAAGCGCCTCCCTTGATTCCTGACCTCCCAACTGGCCGGCATCCTTTTGGGGGCTTCTCCAAGGACGCCTTCCCTTCCTGAGTGGATTGGCCAGAAAAAGCAACCCGAGTGCCACTAAAATGGTCTTCCAAAAAAGTTTAAAGTCATGGGCTCAGGAAGTCAGTTTTCTTTAGACTGGTTGACAGGCGGGATAGGCCCGTCCATGGGTACCCCTGATATTCTGGCAAGTGTGATTGCAAGAGCCGTAGTCAAATGGTCTACCCAGAACAATGTAAGGAATTCAAAGGCGGCCGCATCCATGTATGGTTGAGATTATCCCGTACTAACCTTCATCTACCCGGGTCTTGACGACGTAGCTACACATGACCTATGAGTCAATGAGGTAGTTGATATAGTGGGCCGTCCGGGAAGTGTCAAGCAGAAGAATGGATGCAGTGAGACCCCAGGTAAAAACAAATGCCATCCTTACTGAGAACAGAGCAATCGGAAGGGCATGGGAAAATGATGGTTAGTGAGTTACAGAGTTTGTGCACTGTTTTTTGTGCCCCCCGATAATTCACCCATTTCACCCCGTATCGACCATAGACAAAGAATATGTTGACCGGCCTTCAAATCACTCAATCCGCCTATATTATGCATATATATATATATGTATATATATATACAATATATGTATGCGCTGTACAATATAGGGTGCAACACCGTTCTGAGTCATGATCATAGGAGAGTAACGTGAATAAGTTCGTCGCACACTGGGCTCCAGGTGCCTCAAGTCCCTTGACATCGCAGAAACAAAACAAAAAACGGCGAGGTCAGAAGTCCCAGCAACTTGCCACCATGTAGTTTGATCCCTTCCGGAAAGCCCAAGAAGTGCATCGCAACACCTTGAAGCCTCAAATGGCGGCGGGTTAAAGCGGTTAAAGCCGTTAAACGGGATCCCATTTTGGTTGGTAGGTGAATTCACCACCCATTTTAGTCAGTTTGGTGGGGATTGGGATGTTCACTGGGTACCGGCTTTTGACCCACGGCCAAATCAGAATCCGAGGAAACTCCACTGCCGTGCCGCAAAAGAGGCTCAAACGGTTCAAAGGGAGTGGGGGGCTCAACTCAAATGCAAGCCGTCCAAGGGCACCGTCCCTTCTCGTCCCCAATGGACCAAGGCAACTCCGGATTGGACGCACCTCCAATAACTGGGCAGTTCCAATGATCCACAATCCTTATCTAGGTCCTCCAGTAGAGAGACCCTTTTTTCTGTAGTCTATTTTAGTAGGCGAACCCTCCCCCAAAAAAGGGGTAAAAGTGCGCTACTGGGGATTCCAATCCTCCATAGTCCATATGCATGACCGTCGGGGCCATCTGTTGTACCCCAAGGAACGCCAACAAAGAAACGGTCCCTACCCGTCGATTTCTCGCGGACCATCATCGACAGGGCTGTGGGAAATGACCATTTCTGTGATAAAAAGGGCCTCCCGAAGACAAACCCCCCCATTTGAAGAGGGGATTCCCTTGTATCACAGAAGTGGTTGGAGAAACCCCTTGTGATCCCACAACCCTGAAATCATCCATGGATCCATGGATCCATCAATCTATCGAGCCCCTCCTGCACGGTCTCTCCGTTCTTCAACGTTCTGCCCTCCCAGGTTAGCACGCAGGGTGGGAACCCCGCCTCGCCGAAGGACCGAAGGAAACGAAAACACAAACCCCTGAGCTTCCTCCGATCCCCTAAAAGTGCTGGACTTTTGGTGGTTGAAACGGAAACCCCACCACTAAACCAACCCAAAGTCTGAAAACATAAGGGGACGGCTGGGAACCGCCAAGTAATCGTATCAATCCAAGGTTGACTAAGCCAGGGTCAAGATTGAATCAGTTGGAGCACTTGAAGGACCTCAAAATAAAGGCAGGTGAGGGCTGAAACCCGCCCATCTCTCCCTAGGGAAGATGACGACTGCCTTTTTGGGAGCCCTTTGCTTTGAAGCGACTGGGTAAAACAGCCGGGCTAAAACGTGGGAAATGGGACAAGCTGCCACCAAAAAAGATGTATCGCCTGGCTGGTGTTGCGAACGCCGCAGGGAAAAAGATGCCAGGGCGACATGTCCTATTGAAAACCATCTTGGCCAAACCACCATTGAAACATCAACTCATTCAATTGTGCGAAAGGGTTTGAAACAGAGTTTCGGGATGGATAAAACAGGCCCTAACCCACCAACAAGAAGAGACCACCTTATCCCCCCGGTCCCAAGGGCAAAGCGGTTGCCCTCGGCCGGCACAAACACGAACCAAAAGGGGTGCCAGTTGTAACAAGAAAAGAAGCCCAGCAGGGCAGAGACAACCGAAAGCAAGCACAAAGCAGCAAACCAAGCAGGCAAACAAAGCAGCGCAGCGAGCGAGCAAAGCAAACCAATGCGAACCGAGCAAGCCCCCAACCCTAAGTCCTGACCTGCCCCCAAGCCCGCCCCAACCGCCGCAGCCGCGGCCCGCGCAATGTTTGCACGGGAAGCGGAGCAGCGCCGTTGAATGGCGAGTTGACGGAACAGCAAGATAGGGTCGCCGGGACCAAAAGCTTGAGCCAAATGGCGCATTGGCCATGGCAATGAGCAAACATGCTATGATAAAAGTACATGCCCCCAAAAACACCCCCCTCGACTGTACAAAGAGAAGGAGTGAATTTGGAAAGGCGCATTGGCCATTTGAAGTTGAATAGCACCAAATAAGGAACAAAGACGATTAGACTACCAGGGTTCGCGACCCCATACCCGGGCTCGCTTTGGAGCCCGGATCCCGCCACCACCCCGAATTACGGGTATGGGGCGGATCACGCCGGTAGCCAAATCAACCAAGAGAAACAAAAGAAGGAAAGAAACAAAGATTCAACTCCAAAATGGCAGGCATGAAATATCTGCGATGCAACCACATTGAATCATTAGATTCACGTGGATTTAGGGCTTGAATTATATTGTCAAAAGCGCATTGGCTTGCTGGTTGAAACGTGGTGCATAGACCGAAATATCTCGGCCTTGAACGGCACCGTCTAGGCGCGCGATCACTCGAAGACAACCTCCAGGGACACCGCCAGCGGCATTCGGCGGTTCAGGTCCGAGTAGGACCTCACCGGCAGCGGTGCGGGGCATCCGTGATCCTCACCTCGGCACCTTGATGAGCTCCATCACCAGCAGCAGCAGCGGTGCAGGAGGATGCGGATCACCAGCGGCCATAGACGCCGCCGAGGGTGACTGCCTTGCTGTGGCGACGCACACCTGACAGGTAATCGCAGCTTGCGCGAATAGCGCACAGCCACGCATGCAGATGAATTCTGAAATTGCGAATAGCCCAGACAACGAAATACGACAAGGAGCATAGTCCATCCTGTGAATTCCGAAATGAAAGCATGCGCGCGTTGGCGCAGCCATGCAAAACACACAGACAGACTTCAGGTATTACTGATGTCGTCCGCCGCCGTGCCGTCCCTTCCCCTTGTTGACATTCCAGTCCCCAGGGGGAGGAGGCACTGTCTCGGCCAACTCGTCATCGTCACCCCAGGTAGGGGTATGCGGCGAGTTCGGATTCTCGAACTCGCGGGGATCACCCTGCATATGCGGCTGCCAACCCTGCGGCATTGCGCCGGGCCACATTTGCGGCATCATGCCAGCCATGGGCTGTTGCATGTATCCTCCCATCGGGAAATTGGGATACATCGGACTTGGGAACGGGAAAGGAGCAGCCTGTGCGCCCCTGTAGCCCGACTCGCGAGCATCAGGCTGATACCCGCCAGTGGGAGTTCTCGATCTGGCGGATCCGCCACGACCGAAATGCCCTTGTTGGTAGCCGTATTGGCCACCCTTGCCTTTGTACTGGTCACCCTTGTGACCCTTTCCTGTAAATTGGTCACCTTTGTGACCCTTGCCGGAGAACTGGTCACCCTTGTGACCTCCACCCTTGGGCCAGGAGTGTGCAGGGGCTTTGCCCTTTTGCTGATCCCCCTTTGCCCTGAAATCAGGTCGCGGGGTGGCAGACCGATGATCTCCCCTAGGAGTGGCTGCCCGCCTATGGTGCTTCCCAGACGGCGGGTCAGCGAAAACGATGGCGCTTTGGCCGTCTCGCCGTGCCGCGGAGACCATTTCAACCTTGTTGTTTTCGACATAAATGTATGCCTCAGCATACTCAATCGGGGCCGTGATGGATCCACCACCGGCCCGCAGAGAGTCGATACTCAAATCGAGAACTGTGGAGGCATCAAAACTTGGGTCCTCACTATTGAAGTCCGAGAGGCGTCGCTCAGCCTGTACCAATGACATTATAATGTCCGCACGTGAGGCGCCTAGGCCATACAGTGGAACCAAATATCCGTCCTCAATCCCGATGCGGTAGGCATCAAAAATATGCACAGAGAGGTAAAGAGCAAATGCTGAATTTAGACTGCCCTTTCTCGTCATATGACGACCCCATTGCGCCGCCTGTTGCGGGTGCTCGACCAAATATGTCATGACAGACATATTGTCGGGAATTGGGACGCCAGTATTGCTCTCCTCGATGAGCAGCTGTTTTGCTACCCACCGCTCGAGAGCCTCGTCACTCGCACGCACACAAGCGTGAGTGTCCCTTGAGGTGACTTTCACAACCTCCTGAAACGCAACCTGCACGGTATCCGCATTGGGATTGTGCACAAGATGAGGCGCACAGCGCAAACCGGAGATCATACAGCTGACCACCTCGCGGATCGGGTTTACCGACGCCATGAGAGGAGCCCACACGTCAGTCTCCCCTTCATACCAGCTGTTGGCACGGACTGCCTTGAGTCCGTCCAGCCAAACTGGCTGCCCTCTCCTAACTTGGGAGCGGATGGTGCCTGGCACCCATTCTCGATAGAAAATCGGCAAATGGCAACCATTGCATAGAATGGTGCCATACATATTCAAATGCGCGCACCGAGGGCACCAATAGTCATGCATGGGAGCTTTGTCCCATGAAAATGACACCCCTCTCCGCGGTCCCTGGACATTCAATTCTCGGACCGCCCAGGGACGGATGTATATTACATCCCCTTC